AGGGCTGGTCGGGTGCAGGGAGAGAGGCGGCCCGAGCACTTTCTCCGGTGGACCACTCGGAGGCCCTGGACTCGCTGCCCGACAGAGACGATGGAGAGGAAGCAGCCATTTCGTCCTTCACTGCCCGGGGGGTGCCCCAGCCCTGCCATCGGTGCTCAGCTGGCAGAGGGCTCGGAGCTGCTGTGTCTCTTGAAAGAGTCGCTGGCTCCCGTATGCAGATAAACTGCCTCTGCCACACAGGAGCACCAGGCCCTGGAGTGCGGGTGGCGGGCTGCCCCTCTAGCTTGCAGCGTGGGCAGTCAAAGCAAGTGCAGTGGCCCATTTCCAGCTGGCCCACGATTTCTGGGGACCGAGGCTGCTTTGCTCCCAAGCCCTGCCGGCTGCGGCTCCGGGCTATTTTCCTGAAGCTGGATTCCAGCTCCCGGGAGATCTTCTTCTCGCTCCAAACTGCCGTCTCCACGGTTGCACGCTGGGAGCGCATGCTGGGGCCTGCTGGCCACGGAGCTCCTCTGTGGTCGTGGATCCTCCGGGGCCTGGAACTTTCCTCAGAGCTGGGCTCTCTCTGTGGTGGGGAAGGCTCGTGGGCCGCTGGATGTGGGGCTTGTCTCTGGGACTCCTGAGACATTCCCAGCACTTTTTTCCCTGGAAAGTCCAGGGTGGATTTCGGCTCTGCCGTGTCCTCTGCAGAGCTGAAGGGGGAGCCCAGGAGTTGCTCTGGGGACAAGAGGCGTGTGGGTCCTGGGGGCCCTTCAACATCACTCGTCTGGGAAGTTTCCTGGCTTCCCCCGCTGCTGCTGCTCCCCATGGCGTGAGGGGGCTCTGCTTCAAGGGAGACGGCTTGGCCCTCCTTCATCCCCAGTTCCTGCCAGTGCTGGGACTGGTAGGGGAGGGCTTCCATGAAGCCTGACTGCAGCTCTTCAGGTTGCCCCCCGAAGGGGGCTGCAGGCCCTGGGGAGGGTTTACGGTGGAGATGACGCGGGGTCTGGGTTTGGCCTCTGGGCTCTGCTCCAGGTGGCCGGAATATCCTCAAGGCGTCCTGGATCCTCTTGGGCAGGCCCCATCTGCGCTCCTGGACCAGTCTCCTCATGTGCGACTCCAGGAGCTCTCTGGTTTCCATGCTCAGGAAGAGCAGACTACGGGCCTGGTACCACCTCTGGGCCTGCCTTCTGGGCGGCGAGGGGGTGAACGCCCCCAGCGATCGCTGCACCACGCCCGGTAAGCCCCACAGGTGCTGAAGTTTCTTCCTCAGGACGTGGCTCTCCAGACGGTTCCGGGCCTCGTCCGTAAGCAGAAGCGACCCTGCGTGGGGCACTGTGAGTTCGACTGTGCCGGCTCCTGTCAGGGGAGCCGGTTCCCGGTAGCCATTTCACTCTAGCTTCTTGGCCCCCACACTCTCAGGCAGGCCCTGTTGCAGATCATCTCCCCGCTCACTGATGCTGGTTCCTGCCCAGCGGCTCCGTGAGGGGAGGTCTGCCTGCTTGGCCCCTAGCTGATGTGGCCTAGTATCCCTTTCCCTGCCGGCCTCAGGAAGCCGTGGGCCAGCCGGTGGGACCAAAGCAGCAAACACCCGCAAGGATTCCTGGATCCTCCGGGGAAGGCCCCACCTCCGCTGCAGGATCATCTTCCGCAGGTGCTGCTCCAGGTGGCCTCTCCCACCCTGGTCGATGAGCGGAGGCTCCTGCTTCAGGATGAGGAGGTGCAGCTCGGTGCGGAAGCGAGGCACGACCGGCGCCGGCCGCAGGGGCTCTGGCGCGAAGGCTCTGAGTGACCGAGCAATGAGTGCGGGCGAGCCCCACGTGTGTTGTAGCAGCTTCCTCCTGACGCG